AGGGAAAGTATTAAAGATATTTTGCCTTAATTGCACTCTGCAATAGAATAGGAATAATTCCTACTCATCTGCTTCATGGGGCTACTTATAAAATTAAATTGCAAAGCCATAACAAGGCCTGACCATAATTTCTAGAGCAAGGAGTCAGTCTGAGTTGCCTTCAGCTCAACTTTCTATGTACCCAAAGAGCCCTTGTACTCCAGGAGTTTCCAGAAACTCCCTGTCATGGACTCTCTGGTCTCAGTTCAAGGATGCTGTTGAAGTCAAGAGACGCAGGCTACACTATTCTTTATGATTTCAAATTTACTGTTCACCATACAGGACTATACCGCATGGCCCCGGAAGACATCAAGCCACAGAGCGAGAATGCCCCTGGGGTGTGCAGCAGCAATGCATCACCAGCCCAGCCTGAAAATTGCACTCAGTCCCTGGATTTTCTGTTGGACATTTGCACTGCACAAGGAGCTGAGCTGCATCCTCAGCTAATGCCTTTTCTGAAGGTAGACGCATTGATTTCAAGCATGAATTTCCGAGGGAACCAGATGCTATACGTAAATGTCCAGTCCTAGGGAAGTAGTATGCACGGTCCTCAGAGTGGGATATTTGTCTTCTGGTGTTTAATTTCAGAGTGTCCATCTGTGATTAATGACAAATGTGTTATTTATTTTAAAGTCTCAACTACAACATTTGGGATTCAGTAGATTTTTGCAGGACATTATCTGAAACGGATTCTGGATTGCACTTATTGCTGAAACTTTACATTTCTTCTGAAATTACAATGGACTTCACCTGTAAATATCTCCAGAATATAATTAAGACCATCTGGTAGAGGGAATTGATTTTTGAAACATTTTTGCTGGAAAGGAAGCCAAATTCACTCTTGGGAGTGGGGTCTCTAATAGTGTTTCCTTTTCCTCTGTAATAATAGTATGAAGTAAAACCATTCTGGGAAGTATCAACAAAATCTTAATTTGATGTACAAGGGCTGAAAAGCCAAAGCTAGAAGGAGAACCATGGGGAAAAAATGTGTTTACACAGATGCTGGATTGTCTCCAAAACCTGTGAAGATAGTGCTAAATCCTCCCAGGGCTGAACAATGGGACTGAAATGAGGTATCAAAGAATAATTAGTATTTGTTAACTTGCTCCCACCCACTATCACACTGTGTGGGATTTCTTTCCCCTACAAGCACAAATAATCAACATAGTGCAAAGGGTTTCTAATCCATTCATTGTGTTAGCACATACTCAGGCAGGGAAGTTTGATTGGAGCTGGCTTGCATTACTGCTTTTATATTTGCAAAACAATTTTAAGTAGAATACAAGCCTTTTATAAGGCAGTTCCTTCATAGAAATTAGTTTAATGCGTGAATTTTTGTGTAAAATCTGCAGGCATCTGAGCTGGACGCTGACCCTCTGACAACTAGGTCAGGCACGGACTGATGCCCCAGGCTGAGCTGAAATGGGGCTCCTGGGCAGGGGTCAGGGGAAGCCCCAGGGTCAAGGCCCCTTGTGGCCCTGAAAAATACTTACAGGGCACTTACTTTCAGCATCTGACTTTAATAAGAGTTACTTTGAACGGACTGCTTTATGAACAACAGAATATATTGGACATACTATTATACAGAAGTAGATAAGGTTGTTTATTGTTTATACTCACTAGAATCAATAATACTAGATTTTTAGGTTCTAACCTGAAAAAAAAAAAAATAGAGTGCTTATTCAATGATTCATTTTCTTTTTGGATGTTTGAGTCTCACAGTTAATACTGCCCAAGCAGCCATTGGCAGAGCAAAACTATCTTCCTCCATTTGACCTCCACACTTGAAGAAATAATCACTGCCTTTTTTTGGGACAGCTGACTGCTAAGAGTGGGACCATAACCTCAGAAAACTGAGAGATTTCCCATCATTGACTTTGTTTTTTAAAAAACTTTGATCTGAAATGCATGTGCAAGGTAGGGAGGGGAGAGGAAAAGGAAAGGCCAGTATTAATTGCAGAGATTGCAGGCAGAGTAGGATAACAATTTTGAAATAAATCATATAACCAAACCATAACAGGAAAATCTTTGATAGTCTGAGCATTGTAGAGAGCCAGTACGCTCTCCCCAAAGCACAGTGCCATTTCATTACTGTTCCTGGAAAGCTCAGACAAGAGATTTCCCTAATGTGGTAGAATATCAGATCTAAATTGTTAAACAATTTCATTTTCTACTCCTTTACCCCAGTTCACCACCAAAAAACCCCACCCAAACCCTCCAAAAAACCCACCCCAAAAAAAACCCAAAACCAACCAAATAAAACCCCCAAACTCCCCGTCTTATGGAAACAGCAGAACTACACCAATTTGAGAAGACAGTAAGATATAAAGGTATAAATTGGACACTGCTCATGACTTTAATTGAACATGTGTTGGAGTGGATATGGAAACTGCTTCTCTTTGAGCAAGTTTTTACTTGCAGTTTCAGTTTGCTGAACGTGTTTCTCTTGTCCCTCCAAAATATTTTCAAAAACATACACTAAAATGTCATAACAAAACTTGTCTCCTTATTTCATAATTCTGTAGCATTATAAAGCAGTCCTGGCTGGATAATGCATAATTTCTTCTTTTTCAGTTGTTCTCAGAAGTCTTATTTTCCACCATATTATGTGATATAGTGAACTACAGAGAGTTATTCAAATCTCAGGACAATTGGTTATTTTACACTGATGAGAACATTGTATATACACACTTCATGGAGAGTAAAACTTTTGGCTTGTATAATAACGAATAGAAGGAATTTGGAAATGAATTATATTTTCAAGTCTTGAGCATTATCAATCTTGGCTTGCAGTACTATAAACGAATTGCTGTTTTAAGTGTATGGTCTAATCTAACACAAACAGGTTGTATATATGGTAGTTCTGGGTCACAGTACACTTACATTGAAGTTACCAGTAACATACGCTGAAGCTAACAGCAAAATAAAGCAAATCAATACATGAGCCTAAGTAGTTTTGGAGAATTAGCTCTAAAGAATTCCAGTTTCCTGTTGATCTGCATCTTACCATTGGTCAACTTTTGTGTTTAAGATAACTTCTTATGTGTGCCAAGAGGGCTTATGTTTTTTTTCCATTTAATGTCAAACATAGTGTCACTTCCATGTACAGTCTTTCCATTATGAAGGTACTTTAACGGTCTAGCTCCTTAATCAGGCCACCTATTTTCATGACATTTGTGGAAGAATAATTATCTTTGGGAACTCTAGCCTCTAATTCACATGTGGCTGAAATCAGAGAGCACACACACACAAACACAGACCTTATAAGCCTTGTTTCTAAAGGAAATTGCTCTAAAAAGGTACTCTTCTGCCTTTTGTTTTACAAGAAGTGATCTCATTGTAATCAAAACGGATGTCCTATAAAAGACATTGGAAGCTTTTTTCCATTCAAATGAAGATAAACAATTAACACTACCCAGTATCAGAAGAGTAAACAAGCAGCGGTAAGTGATAGGCCAGTGACCGCAAAGAAGGCATAATGTCACGCTTAAAGCAGTAATGTTGTTTCTTTTGGAAGGGAGGCAGGATTTTCAGATCATGCCATAGATTGCTGCACCCTTTCTCCTGCTACTATTCAGTGTATTTGTGATCGTAAACTTACCAGGTTCCTCATCAGATCAGTTTGTGTTCTGTTTCTATTGTTTCTATGGGGAGATTCCTTCCCCTAATAACAAAAGAAATCTGTTTCTGATGTCCCATATAAGAATACAGCATAGATCTTGAGGGTTCACATTAAAGTCAGGAAAAATACTAAATGAAGGTGATATGAAGATTGGCCAACTCAAAAAGGAGACATTAGGGGACCAGGAAAAATATTTACTTTTATAAGAGCATGAAAAACATAATTGCAAGAAATATGCTCCAGCTATAAATTCTTTCAGGTGACTTAGGTAAAGGGGATGATTCATAAATAGTCAGGAAATTATGAAAAGGATAAATGGTCCAGAATTATGGGAAAAGTCATTTTCCATGGTTGGTAGAATGAACATAAAAGAACAGACTTTTCAGCTATTAGGGTAAGCTCAGCAATATGATACATGCACTGAGCAGCTAAAATATCAGTAGGGTTGAAGTAGCAATGGATTCTGCAACAACTGATGTTGCAAACTGGAAGTGTGCGATTGCACAATCCCCCGGGCTTCTGAATCTGATAGAAATCTCCCCATCACCTGCCGCCAAACAGTTTCACTTTTAGGACTTTTTTGTCTGGTGTGACAGAAATTCACCCAAACTTTTTAAATTTTGTCTGATCTGATATCTCTTTGGAAGAATAGTAGCATCGTAGGCTGTTTCCCAACCAGTGTAAAAGTAATACTCAAGACACCGATATTTCTGATTATTTATTATGGCACTTTAAAGCATATAAACTCCATTGCTAGGTGTTTCAAGCCAGTTTAAAAAAAAAAAAAACACAAAATGAGGCTTTAAGTTTTAGGCAGTATTTCAGTAGATTTTGCTTAAGAATTTTTAGAATGCTACTAGACAGGAAATAAGTATTTTGCTAGGAAAACAAAGAGTCTTCGCAAAATAAGGCTTCCTTTCAGTAAAGCATGTATGGGTTTGCTGAAGTTTATCATGTCCATTGGCTCACCAGTATATATTTTTTCAGACAAGAAATTTGTGGGTTCGAAATATGAAAACCCAAACTAACCCCTGAAAATACATTCCTCTACTCAAACGCCAACAAAGCTATCTCCCGTTTATACCCACCCAATTCTATTTACTTTGTAACACACAGGTTAGAAACAACACTAATGCCTGAATTCTGAATGTTTTTTCTATTTCAGATTTTACTACCTTAGCAATTAAGGATGCTGGTCAAAATTCAGCTTGCTGTTAACTGTTCGTTGCCATATATTGCATTATCTTGAACTGAAGGCAGTTTGTAGTAGAGCCTAAAACCAAACTGAGTTTTTATAAAACCTCACTTTAAAATTCCACTATAGTAACAACATTTCCACTTCATATATTTGACAATTTTATTCCACAGCCTCATAAGTTCAGAATAGTTACATAATAGTTACATCACGGCTTTTAAAAAGGATTGCACTCAGCTACTCAGTCCATTGAAATACTAGAAAACAGGGAAAAGGAAAATATGGAGTGTAAAGGAGCTCTGTCCACTGAACCGAGTTGTTTGTAGCAAGTTCCTACTGAACATGAAGATGTCCTCACGCTTTCTGGTAGACTCTAATACACTTGACACCATTCATGTCACATTCCTAGAAGATAAAGAGATGGATTTATTAATTTGCTTCAGTACAGACTATAAGGAAAAAGATCTTTTAGAGTTACTTTTCAGGCTACCGGCCAGCAGCACTCAGGGATCAGAAAGCAGGACTGAACTCACCACCACCAGTTGTCCATCCACTAGTTTCCGTGTTATTATAGTCTTCTTGCCATCCCAATGACCCATCATCTTTTAAGCTGATAAGGGTCTGAAAGAAGAACCTGAACATCAATATTTTACCCATGACATCTGATGGAGACTGAGGCTTTCTAACACCTTATTCCAAAGGAAAAATTCCCACCCCAGCTCACTCAATAGTAATTTTGCCATTGACATCTACAAAGCCAGGATATTATCTTAAATGTTTTATTGATCCTCATCTTACAGTAGCTCACTGCCTGTTCACTCACTGCTCTGACACATTCCTGCATCAGGCAGACCTTTGACAGCACGCACAATTTCAATTAACAAGAGCAGATGATGTTCTCTGTTCATGTCTTTGTGCACGGGCTTTGAGCTTTTGTGTAACGTTTATCTGATCTTGCAATAACAGATGAATTGCCAGTGTGTGGCTGGAGAAAGCACTCACAGAAGGAAATGAGAGAAACATATCTGAGGGTTTCTTTGTGTTTAATCTCTTTTTGGATGAATGCTCTGCCTACTTGGTGCAGGGAGAAGTTCTTTGCCTTCTAAAACTGGAGATTAGAGACTGTGATTCACATGTACGCCTTGTGTGTCTGTTATCCCACTGCACAGTGAACCAGGCTCTCTTGTTATGCAAATACGAGACTGAGCGGAAAGGTTAACCCTAGGGCTGAATTGTCTCTGATTAAACATCAATGGGATTTTTTCCACAGGCTTCAAATGAAGTGGCATTTGGCTTTAACGTGGATTTAGAGGTCTGTTAGTTTTACTAACACAATTCTTCTTTCAACAAATTGAAAACAACAAAATACACAAGACATTATTGGTTTCAGCATTTTCCCTCTTTGGAAGTTGCTTAATCCAGGGAAAAAAAAAAAAGAATTTATTTCAATGAGACTTACAGCGACAGCTGTTCATCAAATAAGGCATTGTTAGTATGGATGTCAAAACTGATTTTTAAATAGCATCTCCATCTGTAAAACACCCAAAGAGTTGTGTTTTTTCAGTAGAAAGTCTAGTATACTGACCTGAGTTTTCCTGCCATCTAATGTATTTTCCTCAAATTTCTCACCAAGCTTGAAGCTGAACTGTGAAGTTTTGAAGGTGCTTTCTGTTTTTAAGGTGATTGTGTCCCCATCCTTAATAATGTAAACATCTGGTTTGGCCATGCTTCCCATTTTTCTCATGGCCATACCCACACCTGCAAGGCAAGAGGTACAGAGTGTCACAAAGTCAGTTAAACCCTAAGGCTTAGGGCCACACAAGAATTCAAATACCTCATTCCCATTTAATTAGGCACTTAAGTACACTTGAGAATCAAAGCTCAAGAGCCACAAAGAAAGAGGATGTTTTAAATTATCCACTGATGAGGAAGGAGAAAAGCTTATTTGTAGGGTTATTCTTTAGCTTCCTCAGGGAGCTAAAGTTAAATCTATTTTGCCCCCTAGAGGACTCACAGATGTCCCAAAACTCAGCATTGAATTTTTACAAACAGAAATAAACAGTAAACAGGGAAACAAGCACAAAAGCTTAAACTAATGCGAAATTATTCCCTTCAAGTTATGAATGCTTTAAAAATTCTGCAGATTATTTTTAATTGACAGATTAATCCACCTGCATATTTATTTCAACTTACTCAAGAAATACTCTTCCATCACCCTGTACACAATTGCAAATATGCAATTTTTAATATAAGTTCATCTTCTACATCCTGTATCCAAGGTATAGACTTGTGAATTAGGAAACCATTACCATGCAAAATAGCGCTTACACACACAAAAAAGGACCGTGAGAGAAATTAGTTTTGCGAATGACTGAAAATTCATCACCTGGAGACAGCTGCCCTCAAAACCCTTCAGCAAAAAGGATTCACCCTGCCTCAGCCCCTGCATGCACCGTTTGAGTGGTTTGCTTGGCCCTTTTTGATCTGAAGGATGAAGTTACGAGTAAGAGGGTAGTCAGGCAATAAACATGAATCCATCAAACTGGAAAGTGCAGATCTGAACCAAGAGTTGATAAGCAACCAGATGGAGCAGAAAGTGCCACCAGGTCAGTAAGTGTCTGGGCTCTGCAGCTGGTGTAGTTAGAAAATGTTGTCATGCAGCAGCACAGCACTCCCCCGGGGTGTACAGGATACTTGGGTGAGGGCTGAATCCACAACGCAAAGATTACAGTTTCCTTGGGAGGCAGAAATAACAAAGTACTTCCCAGCCACTGCTTCTCCAGACTCAACTGAGATTCCAGGACTGAGCCTTAAGCTTCAGACTGCAGAGCAAAAACCAATCCTCCTCAGTCCAGCTTTTCTGACCAGAATTGGAAATTATTGTCACAGTGACCCCCCACCCACCCTTTTGCTGTCATCCAGTCCAGAGTAATCAGTGAGTTATCTGATCAGCTATGCCTTGGAATCCAACTAAACAGAGATGAGCCGCATATGTTTTCCATATGGCAAGGAGTGAAATTCAAACTTATTTATCCCCGAATGTTCCTTTATACAGACTGAGCAGAATCTGCAGAATCTCATTTATGGTGCGTCAACAGGATCGAAGGCAGAGAGTTTTCTAAGTAGTCAGTCTCAGAGGGTGAGATCCACTAAAGGACTGGCTCCTAAAGTGTGACTTGGAGTAAATTTAATTGCCTAAATTGTAATTGTAAAAAGGAAAAGTGACTGGTTTAAGATTGTGATCTAAAAACAAACAAACAACACTCAGTTGCTGCCTACACATGGGAGGTGCTCTGCAGTTGCAGCACTTATTTTCTACTTTGAAGTTGCAATTTGGCACATGCCTAGCCCTGGCTGTTAGGCGTGAGCACCGCAGCATCCTAATCCATGGTTGAACTGATCTGAGCTTAAAATTCTTGAATTTCCTCCACTGAAGTCTCCCAAAGGGCTCAGTCCAGAAGGCTTTCTCACATCATAGCTATGACACATTGACAGGCCTCTCACAAAACGCAATTACACACCACTCTGTCTGCAGAGTGTAAATGCAGTGACGCCTTTTGTATTTTACATGAAGAGTGCAAGACCTAAATTCCTTCCTCTCCTCCCTCCAAAGACATTCAAGGCCACATCCTCCGCCTCTTGAGAAAGTATCCTGGCTTTCAGCAGTGAATAAATTGCAGAAAATAATAGCTCCTGGGCTACACAGACACTGCAAGGTGTCTATCACCTGTTGGCCAGGGTGCTCACAGGGAGGAGGTAAATCTGAACTTGCGGAGGAGGCTCCTGGTGTTAGGTCTGTTCTTGACGCAGTAACTTCGTGTTGCAAAATGCACGGCAACCTGGAAGTGGGGATAACAAGCCAGGACTATCCCCCTGAGATAAGGGTGCTACCCACAGAAGAATACAAACAGCCTCTGGCAGTGCAGTCAGCTGTCGGTTGCCCATAGGCGGTTAATCCAGTTTGGCTTTCTCGTGAGGAGACACCCAAGGTGACTTCACGGGAGAGCAGCCCGAGCTCAGCAGGTCTGTGTGTGGCCACCCCCGGCGGTGTGAGCCCGGCCCG